ACTCAAATAACACTTACTAACTCTGCCCCAGATTGGAGAAAAGGTGTTTAAAGTCAGAACTATAGGCCGCCATGTTTTACAGCACAACGAGATCCAGTGATCAAGCAAACAAGGATTCAGCAGGTCATTCGAGCTAATAGAGACTTCATAATACTTACTTCAACTCAGCAAAGTAGTAACTTGACCAAGAACCCAAAACTTCGAGAAACAAGGCCACTAGAGGCTACGCTACAGCGAAAAGAGCATAGGCATACTGGTCGTGACGTCACCAATAATTTCATGTACAATCTACTTCCTGTTTCGCATCCACTTGGTATATATAGTATCTATGATTGCCAGCATTGAGTTTGCAAGCTTTTCGCAAAAAATAATTGTGTGAAATCTTAGAAATGCAGGATTCGCGATAAAAATTTTTGTCGCATAAACTTCGTGGTATACTTGGTTACCTTCCACTGTTAGTCCGGCTGCTTTTTAGTCTTTACTCTTTACAATACACTCATCATTTCGACTGCAGTACTAGTAGTCTAGTACACCTATCAATTGGTACACCCTCTACTGCTACTGTGTAAGCTACAACTGTTGGTTACAATTGAGATAGCTGTTCTTTCTGCTTTCTTTTATTGTGGACTGATTCATAGTTACACCTTAAGTTACCTAATTCTCTCATTGTCCTCCATACTGTACAAGATGATTGATGTCTCTCAATGGAGAGCAAGTATTGGACTGTGGAACTACTGTCAAGCTGCCTCCAGTAGACCAGCTAATGGCTGCTACTCTCTGCACTCATTTAAAGCTGCAGTAGACAGCAAGTCAGGCAATAATACACCAGGAGAGAAGATATCTAAACTGCCAGCAGCTCTGTCTCTTATTGCTTTCCTCCTCCTCCTCTTTGACATATTAAGACACATCTTGATGATTCCTCTAACAGGTAAACAACAATTGCAACTTTTACTTGTAGAATTTTCACTGGTATTTTCAATTATTAGGTAACTACTACCAAGTACAATGTACTACTGGTGTTACTGTTACTGATATGAATTACCTCCAGTCAGTAGTCTTACCTGGAGGCAGCAGTTCTAACCTGATTTACAATGATCACTATTTAATTGTGTGCCTATGTAAACTCCTTCTATTATCAGGAGATGTTGAACTCAATCCTGGTCCAATGATTGATGATGAACCTGATATTGTCCTATTACTTAATTGGCTTGAACCACTTGTTGACTGGAAGCCATTCGGTCTTCTCTTACCTGGAATAACGCAACAAGATATTACAACAATTGAAGACTTTGAAATTGGTAGTGATCAAAGCAAACTGGGCCTTTTCTCTAAATGGCTCAAAAATAATCCTACAGCAACATGGAGAGATGTACTCAATGCATTGACTAAAAGAGAAGAGATCAATTTATTAAAAACTATTAATGATCAGTTACAAGTATATCAATGTACAGGAGGTATGGTCATGTATACATTTATCTATTAATAATTATATTAAATGAATAATAGGCACTACTGATGCTGCTACTAATACTGTACCAGTAGTACCTACTGTATCATCATCAGTTTCTGAACCTGACACTAGTACTACATCAGGTAAACAATATGCTCAATACAATACTCATTGACTGATACACTACTGCAGGTAATCCAAGGAATATACTACAGAGTCATTCATATAAATTAGCTCATGCCATTAGTGTGAATCTATACAATGTAACTGATGCACTGTATGCTCAAGACCTGGTACTACAACAAACTAAAGAGGAGATGCATGTATTAGGAGTAACTGATAATGAGAAATCTAGTAAACTTGTGAATGTCATTCAAACACAGTTGGAAGCCTATGTTAATCAAAAGCAGTATTTAATCAAGATATGTCATGTCTTATTATACCAACAACATTGTGCACTAACTGATATTGTTTCTTCTATATTACACCAGTTAGGTGAGTGTGTGTGTACATTATCAGTGATCAATTATAGTCATTATATTTCAATACATTAGGTCAGTCTATACCTGTTGTCACATCAATTAGTTCAATACCTGATCATGTTCAAGGATATGCTGACAGTATGAGACAACACTACAAACACCAACCTATTATTGCTACAGAGTGGCCACCAAGAATTGGAAAAGATTTTTTTGGAAGACTAGCACTAGTAGAAAAACAAGACTCTAGCACACAAGCAGAATCAGCTTGGCATCTGCTACGAGGACAAGTTGATAAAACAGTTAAACTAATTGAAAATGAAGAGATAAGTGTTGAAGATGTCCTCCAACCCACAGATAGTTCTCTGTCTCTCAGAGTAGTAATAGACGGTCCTCCTGGTATTGGCAAAACTACACTCTGTCGTAAACTGTTAAACATGTGGTCTAATGGACCACTTCCACATCAACAGTATGACTTGGTACTTTACTGTCCTTTAAAGAATAGCAAGATAGCTACAGCTACTACACTAGCTGACCTGTTTGTGTGTCAACGTTATGAAGTTCTCATGGTAACTGAATGGTTTGAGAAGAAGAATGGAGAAGGATTATTGATAATCTTTGATGGTTGGGATGAACGAAGTGAACAACTCAGACAGACTTCATTAGCTGCTAGTATCATTTGTAAAGAAAAGTTAGACCAATGTTCAGTAATTGTTACCTCTCGTAGCTATGCCTCCTCTTCACTTTTAGAGATCATGTCTAATCTCAGTAGACATGTTCAGGTCATTGGGTTTTCTGAGGAAGAAATATCAATAGTAATTATACAAACACTTCAAAAAGACACAAAACTAGCACAACAACTCATTGATAAAAAAAGAAAAGATGATAAAAATGAGGAACCTTTCACAACTACTCAAAGCAGTAAGGACTCACAACTAGCAGTGAAACTCATTAATGATCTTAAAGTACGAAATGATGTTCAATCATTGTGTTATGTACCACTAGTTTGCTCCATGGTCATCTTAGTTTATTGTAAGGAAGGAGGACACTTACCAACAACACTCACTCAACTGTATGAAAACTTTATCCTACAAACTATCAGAAGACGTGTTAAAAAACATGACAGTAACCCACGTACTTTAGGTAGTCTTTCTTCATTACCATCACAATTATCTAAACCTTTACAAGAGATGTGTCAATTAGCTTATACTAACCTGGCTAATACAACAATGACATTCTCTTCACATCAACTACAGTCACTGAGTGAGGCAGTCAAGGAAGACTATCTTGGATTGATGACAACATTCACAGAATATGATGAGGAGAAGTATCAGTTCCTTCACTTGAGTGTACAGGAATTTCTAGCTGCATGGTGGATAGCTAAGCATGAGAAGAAGACAGAGGAAGTGTTTAAGGATCACTTTGATGATGATCACTTTCGATTGTGTCTGAGGTTTGTGGCAGGTCTAACTCACCTTGAACATGAGAGCTATCAAAAGTATTTTAATAAACAGCAACTTGACTTACAGTGTAAGAAGAAACCATTGTTTGGATTTGAGACTTGTCATCTCTCCTACTTCTATCATAATCCTAAGCTTGCTAATGGTCATGTCAGTTCTGATGATTTTGACAATGTTCCCATTCTTCTTCTTCAAATCCTGTATGAATCACAGAACACAACATTATGTCAAGTATTAGCACAATCTATCAACAACCTCTCACTGTGTCTGAATTGGGATAGAGTATCATTATCATTGTTTGACTGGTTGTGTCTCAGTTATTGTATAAACAATTCCAACACAACATGGAATCACTTGCACCTGCACAGTGTATTTAATAACCAGTCACTATCAGTCTTCACTGCTGGACTAAACAATAGCTCACTAAAGACTCAGTGTAAGAGACTGGAGATAGAGTTGAATGGATCCACTGATGAATTAATACACAAATTATTACAATCATCACTTCTATACAATATTCAGGAGTGCTACTGTAGATTATTATTTGGTCAATATGTTCCCTGTCTTGTATTGATACAGTTCCTCAATCTCCCTCAATTGAAGGTACTGCACTTAAGAATGGAGAATCCTATTGTACCAACAACTGGCAATACATACTACACAGACAAGTGCACTGAACTTGAGAAATGTATAGAAATGAATTCAATGCTACAAAAATTGGAGATTAAATATATTGGAGAGAATGAAATAACAAGTACCATTATCAGTGTCATCAGAGGAGTAACAAGAAATAAAACAATAATATCATTAACAATAGATGTACGACTGATTTTATGTACTCCTCCCCCTCTACCTGATGGAGTAATAAAGCAGTTACTAAAGGACAACAACACATTACAAGCTCTTTCACTGGACGTACCTGATAAACGCCTACCATCATCACTGAATATAGTAGAAGAGGTGAACACACCACTGACTGCTCTAGAGATAGGATGGAGTAGTAAACTGATGACATCATCACTCCTTCCACATATCAAAGGATTACACTGTTTGATACTGCCTGAACCATACCAACCACATCTTCTATTTCTCTGTCATCCCAATCTACATACACTTACTTTACTACTAGACGCTGCTAATAGTGCTATTGAACTATTTACTATTCTAAAAACCAATACTACACTTAAAGCACTGAGTGTGGGGATAGAGAGAGTATATACCAGCAGTATGGGTACTAGTCTACAAGACATGCTAACACAAAACCAAACACTGAAATACCTTGAGATTAAATATTCCATTCACAATTCATTCCTGTACTTCTTAACAGCTGGTCTCAGACACAACACCAGTTTACAGCAGTTAAGTGTACCCATTCCACTGATTAAAGAGATAAGAACTTTTATTAATGTCATCTCACAAAAGAACAATCTCACAGAACTTAAAGTGAACTTCAATCCAGATCGGTCATACAGTAACTGTAGTGAGGAAGAGAAAAAAAAAATATTAACACCATTGTTTTTTGAACAGGTACTACCTGCTGTTACTAACATGTTACAGTCACATACAACCATCAGACTACTGAGGATAGAGTGTAAATATATTAATAATGAGTCATCTCAACCTAACTGGGTAGAACTAGTACAACATTTATATGATACTATCTTCATCCATCCATCACTTGAATATATTAATTTAAAGGCATCTCGTCTCCTGGAGGATACTCTTAAAGATCAAAGGAAGACATTGATTGATAGACACAGAAAAGAACAACCACACAAACCACTACCAATAGTGTATTAATTTAATAGAGAACAATTAATGTTACAATTATTGTTACTATTATTAGTAGGACTTAGGATTTATTTATTTTTAATAAAATAAGAATTAATGATTAATTTTGATCTAAAATTATCAAAATAACAAAATAAATGAATTAATAATGAAGTGAGTCTGGTTACGAGGTTTCTAAGCATTGATAGAATCCTGAGGAAGTCAATATAGATAGTACGTAGATCTATGGCTATTCCTGGCTTTTTCCGAGCATACAAGTTGAACATGGTATGATAATGTATGCATGAGTAAATAACAATAGTTTTACCATACTCCTTTGCTTATACCAAGCCCCTTTGCTACCCCATTCCTTCTCGTATTATACTGTAGATCTGCATTGCATGTACAATAATAAATTCCATTAAATGAAAATATAGAGAAGTTGCAGGTGTGGTCAGCGCATCATGCATAACTAGATCTAGATCTAATACTGCCTAGGCTGCTGCACCCTGAAAACCGAACAAAAAATGGCAACAGAATCAGCTCAACCTAAAGAACAAATTGTTGATCCTTGGACAGCTAAAGCTGGGGAAGGTGAAAAGAAGATCAACTATGATAAGCTCATTGGTAGGTCAACTATGTCAGCTCGTGAAAATTGTTAATCTAATGTATTCATTTTAGTTCAGTTTGGAAGTGAGAGAATAGGTGAATCCCTTCTACAAAGGATTGAGACTCTATCAAAGAAACCAGCCCACCACTTTCTCCGCCGAGGAATTTTCTTTTCTCACAGGTAAAGTTATAAATCATAAAATTTATATTAATCATGGCCTATGCAGGGATGTTCCTGATATCTTGAATGCATATGAGCAAAATAAGCCATTCTTTCTCTACACTGGGCGTGGTCCTTCATCGGAGTCTATGCATCTTGGGCATCTTATTCCATTCCTTTTTACCAAGTAAGGGCACAAACATCATTAAGCTATATTTGCCAATAGCATATCAAAGATTGACAGTTGGGAGCTATCATAGGAATATAAATGCCAGCTATAGTACCCATATGGGCACATGATGATAATAGAAGTACGTATTTGCTGAGTTTTTGCACTTATGTTGTGTATTGGAACATACGCAACACACGCATAGCATGATAACAGGACATACACATATAGCATATAATGTCATTATGGAAAGAATAATTACCGTACAGGCATAAAATTTCGTGGGATATTTAATTTCGCGGATTTTGTGGGTGACTTCTTAACCACGAAAATTAATACCATGGAAATGCCAACTATACGCATGTGCAGCATGTGAAAATCAATAACTTAATGCAAGTACACGTGCAAAAACGTGAAATTTAACCCCCTCGAAATTAAAAAATTAAGAGCTTTTCACAAAATTGTATCCCCTTAAAATTTACTACCCGTACGGTATAAATGTTAAATATGTGTCACTGCAGTGTACAATATATGAGCCGAAGTACAAAGTTATTATGCAAAAGGAATTCAGTTACATGTAGTATTGTACATTCCAGCTATGAGTGTGTTCTTATTACATCTACTCCTACAACTATAGTTGCTATTATGCTGTTACAATTATGGTAAAGGAATGGCATCCCCTGGGTCACGGTTCATATGATACGATAACAATGCAACACTAGCACAATATAGGGAAATGAATTTATACTCCCACTGCAAGCTTGCTAATGGTAGTTGTTATTGTCATTTTGCCTAGTTGCTGCCCATACTTAGTCAAGTATCTTATCAACATGTTTACAACTTGTTGATAATGTGCTCTGCAAATAGTCTGTTTGTTTTATTGCCAATTATTGTTTGATACGACAATTAGATAGCGATAATTATAAACCCTATAGGGCGCTAACTTGTAGAAGCAATTATAGATACCGTATATAAGACACTATTTGTATTCTTCCATGTTCTATCTGCATTCTTTAATGAAAAAATTTCGAAATTCTCCTGCTGGACAGCAAAACAAGGAAAAACCAATGGACAGGAGGCCAAAAGCAGCCTTTGTGGACAAGTCGCTTCAAGTGCAGTGAAGCTTTTTCTCAGGAAACATTCTGGGCTTTATTCTTCACCATTACTGGCATTTAATGCCACTCAGGCAAGCTCTGGAAGCCACAAAGGCCTCTTGTTCCATGTTTCCCCATGTAGCCTACTGACATCTTGCTGTCCATGCAAATCATGAGTGTGGGTGGATACCGTAGTGTAATAATTACTCGCAGAAATTAGTGCCCTATAGGGTCTATAATAAACTACCACATAGGCTAATGATTCTATTAATAGATATTTGCAAGATGTATTTGATGTACCACTTGTGATACAAATGACTGATGATGAGAAATTTATGTGGAGAGATCTTGGCCTAGAGGAAGCTCATCGCCTTGCTTATGAGAATGCTAAAGACATCATTGCCTGTGGTTTTGATGTTAATAAGACTTTTATCTTCTCCAACTTGGATTACATGAGGTACTGAAAACAAATTAAAAATTCATTCAATAATTTTGTCCATTTGTTAATTTACTTTTATAGTTGCTGTCCATCCTTTTATCGCAATGTCCTACGTATACAAAAGTGTGTAACTTGTAATCAGGCAAAGGGTATATTTGGCTTCCAGGATACAGATTCTATAGGTGAGTGTACCATGCAAAAGGAGTATTGACTTAATATACTGTTTCATACTGTACAGGTAAAATGGCATTCCCAGCTGTTCAAGCAGCACCATCCTTTAGTACTACCTTTCCAGACATATTTGGAGACCATAAAGATGTCCGGTGTCTCATCCC